AAAAAGGCTAAAATGACCAAAGAAAAAGTGGAAAACAGTTAAACATGAGAGGTTTTTGGACAAAGTTTGTGTTTTTTCCATTGTTTAAGCACTGCTTCCAGCCAAGAGTGATGCCATATATGCCCCATAGCTGCAGAAACGGCTAACATTGTTATCTTTTACAAAAAAACAGTTAAAAATCAGTTAAACATGAGAGGTTTTTGGACAAAGTGTGTGTTCTCCATTCTTTAAGCACCGGCACCGTTTCAAAAGTACCAGTTTGGTACTGGTATTGGATAAAACCTATACGATACCCATCCCTAGTCATGGTCCTGGGTCTGTGGAGCCAGCATTTATGTGTCTTTTGTGTAGTACTGTGAGGTAAGGATTGTGTTCCCAGCTTTGGTTGTTGTGATCCCTCTGTTTACACTTGCTGTCATGACTCTTCTGTTCCCTGTTTAGTTGTTCTCCACAGTCACTGTGTCAGGCTGAGGCTCTGTCTGTGTGTTTCCTGTCTTATTTTGATAGTCCCTTGTCCTGTGTGCATTGTGTTCAGTATTAGGTCCAGCGTGCTTCTACCTGTAGCCTATCCTCTCATCATCCTGTATGTGGATTCAGGTCCTGTCTTCCTTTGCTTGTTGTCATGTCGTCCCATGTTAGCTGAGTGTTATCTCCTCTTGGTTTGTTTGTAATTTCATGTTCAGTATTGACTCCCTTTGTCAAGTCAAAGTCATCTTTATTATTGAAACCACATATACAGATCATACATACATACATCATATACAGGGGCAGGGATAGCTCAGTAGGTAGAGTGGTGGCCCCATGATCGGAAGGTCGGGGGTCCAAATCCACTGAACGGCTATCCTGAGGTACCCCTGAGCAAGGTACCGTCCCTACACACTGCTCCCTGGGCGCCCAATGGCTGCCCACTGCTTCACTGAGTGAATGTGTCATGGTCCTGAGTCTGTGTCTGTCTATGGTGTCACTGTGTCTGTTCGTGAGTCTGTCTGTTAAGGTCAGTGTCTTGTCTGGTCCTCTGTGTCTATGAGTTTCCTGTTTTATTCTGAAGGTCTCTGTCTTGTGTGTTCAGTTTACGTTTCCCCTGTCCCGTCAGCTGTGACTTCTCCCAGGTGTGTTCCTCTCCTGTCTCCCATCCCTTGATGGGAGACAGGAGTCTTCCCAGTTTAGGGTTCCTCAGTTGCTTCTCATACGCCCGCTGCCTGTTGGTGTCATTTTGCCACTTTGAAAATAAACACTCACTCATATCATCCATCCTTTGCCTACGTTTTGGGTCCTTTAATAATTCCACATGGCTCATCCTACGAGCCGTGACAGAATGGGTTAAATGCCAAGAGGGATTTCCCCACGGGGATCAATAAAGTACAGATTACACAGGAATTTGATGATGCAGTGCTGACACGGCCCTCGGTCTGACACGAAAGATACAAATGTTGTTTCTGTGTTTGTGTCCATCATCTGCCACAGTCAGACATGACAATAACTCATCATTAAATGCAGAGGTGCATAAACACACAGTGAGTGAAGAAGAAACACCCAGGCATCATGGGAATCCCCCCGCATTAAAAGAGAAGTGCATTTCATTAATGCCAAAAAGGGAAACACAGCATTTTGATAATGAAATAAGGCACAACTGGAACATATAATGAAATATAAAACAGTGAACAGGCCTGTAGGGATCAGTCCATGTAGGTTCTCAGTTATCCAGTAGGAAATTAAGACACTTATATCCAAATTTCCTAATCCTTCAGAGGCACTTAGTGTGTCTCAGAAGGATAACAGAAAACCAGACTGGGCTCAGTTAAATCACAATTTACACCAGTAATGAGGGAAACAGATACAGCCATGAAAAAAATTACTAAAATCAGGGCTTAAAGGGGCTGCTTAGGCTAACGCCATGTTTTCAGATCACCTCGGATTGCCCAGAACTCTCGCTGAGTAGGTGCTAAAAAAGTACCAGTACGTAATGGGACATAAGGTGTACGTAAGGTACTAGTACATAATGGAAAACCCTGAAAACTGAGTCAATCTGCGCCGAGCTGACCCAAGTAGGCACTAATCAGAAAAGTGCTTTTAGATTCTATTCTTACATACCTGCTTCACGCCCTGGAGGACGGGGCTGTGGCCCCCCCACACCCTCTAGCAGATCATTACATGAAGGAACCTTTTAAAAAAACAAGCGCGTCCATGCTCACAGGTGTACACACGGGTGATCACACCCACAAACTACACCCTTTTTGGCTCCTACCTCAAAGCACACTGTGTTC